AGCCTTAAATAACAGGTTAAATAACTTTCTCAAGGTAATTTAGCTAATGAGTGGGGAAAGAGAATGCTTGTACTTTACTAGGTAATCTCATTAAAATCCCTGATGTTCTTTAATAAAATTGTAAGGCATTCACTTAATTGCTGAGTAATAAAATCTCCTTTGAATTAAATAAGACCAAATAGACTGTGATTCTTCTTTAGTAGAAGGGGAGTCATCACAGTGTTGGCAGAATACACTCTAACCTTTTTTAAAATACTGGTTTTTTCTTTGTTTAATGCAGTATGGGGACTATCATATCTTTACTGTGTCTAGAATGGACAGTTGACCAAAAAAGAAAACAAAAGTACAATATAATGCTATAATATAGTGGGATAAAACTGAAGGGGGTTTTAAATTATAACTTAAAAAATGATATGCTATTTTTGGCAATTGAGCCAAAACCCTTAAGTACATTTGGCTTTTGAATGGTTTTATAAATCCTAACTACATTTTACTTCAAATAAAGCAGTTTTAAGTTAAATTAGACATTAAGTATTTCTTTGATATTTTTAATTTTGAAATATAATGAAAATTAAATTAGTAAATGAGTAGTAACTTCTCTCTAGGTTTCTCTTCCTGCATTAAATTTCTTTTTTTTTTTTATCCTCACCCGAGGATATTTTTCCATTTTTTGTACAGATAGAATGGGAGGGAGAGAGAGGAAGGGAGAGAGAGTGAGAAACGTCGACGTGAAGGGACACATCGAGTGGCTGCCACCCGCACGACCAACCAGGGCCGGGGACAAACTGCAACCGAAGTACGTGCCCTTAGCGGGAACCGAACCCGGGTCTCTCCGGACCGCAGGCCTACGCTCTAACCGCTGAGCCAAACTGGCCAGGGCAAATTTCTTTTTTTTTTTTAATTGAATTTATTGGGGTCACAAAACTATGCAGGTTTCAAGTGTAAAACTCAACAAAACAATCTGCACATGGCATCGTGCGCTCATTGCCCAAAACAAAGTCTCTCCATGCCCACCTCTACCTAGCCCCAACTCCCTTTCCCTCTGGCTATCCCCACACTATTGTCTGTGACTATGTGTTTCATATATATATGTATATGTATATATATATATATATATACACACATATATATGTATATATGTATATGTATATATATATATATATATTTGTTTTTGCTTAATCCTTTCACCTTTCATCCAGCCCCCCAGACCCTCTCTTCTCTGACAGCTGTCACTGTGTTCTATGTATCTATGCCTCTTTCTATTTTGTGTATTAGATTCCACATATAAGGGAGATCATATGGTATTTGTCTTTCTCTGACTGACTTATTTCACTTAGCATAATAATCTCCATGGTCCGTCCACACTGTCACAAAAGGTAAGATTTTCTTCTTTTTAATGGCCAAGTAGTATTCTATTGTATAAATGTACCACAGCTGTTTTATCTACTCATCTATTGAAGCATACTTGGGCTGTTTCCAGGTCTTGGCTATTGTAAATAACACAGCTATGAACATAGGGGTGTGTACATTCTTTCAAACTGGTAATTTGTGATTCTTTGGATATATTCCCAGAAGTGGGATTGCTGGATCAAAAGGCAGTTCAATTTTTAATTTTTTGAGGAAATTCCATACTGTTTTCCACAGTGGCTGCACTAGTCTGCATTCCTATTAACAGTATACGAGGGTTCTCCCTTTTCTCTACATCCTCACAAGCACTTGTTTGTTGATTTGTTGATGGTAGCCATTCTGACAGGTGTGAGGTGATATCTCATTGTAGTTTTACTTTGCATCTCTCTGATGATTAGTGACATTGAGTACTTTTCCATATGTCTGTTTGCCATCCGTATGTCCCCTGGAGAAGTGTCTGCAGGTCCTTTGCCCATTTCTTAATTGGGTTGTTTGTTGCCCTATTCAGTTAAATTTTTTTAACATTTATGATTTAAAATTTTTAAAGACTATCCAGGAAATGCTCAAACAGCTCCCATTACAAAAGATTTGAAAGCTCCTTCTTTCTTGCCACACTGGACTGTATAACCTACACCCTGCCAGTCCTTTCTTCATAGGTAATTGCTGTCTGTTACATATTCTACTACTTGGTTTTTCAGTTATGTCATCAACATTTTCCCATGACAGTGTGTATAATCAACTCCATTCATTATTTATTAATTTAGTCACTTTCCTGTTGAATGACTATTTAGTTTATTGTATATTTCTAGGGGAGGAGGCCTTATGTCAAAGTGCTTTAGGACGAAATCCTGGAAGTGGATCCTGAATTCTTTTTTTTATTTATTTTTATTTTTTTATCCTCACCCGAGGACATCTTCCCATTTTTTGTTCAGATAGAGTGGGAGGGAGAGAGAGGAACAGAGAGAGAGAGAGAGAGACATCGATGTGAAAGGAACACATCGAGTGGCTGCCACCCGCACGACCAACCAGGGCCGGGGACAAACTGCAACCGAGGTACGTGCCCTTAGCGGAAACCGAACCCGGGTCTCTCAGGACCGCAGGTCGATGCTCTAACTGCTGAACCAAACCGGCCAGGGCAATCCAGAATTCTGTAATTCAAATAAAAATAAAGGTTTTATCATGTGGATTTTATTTTAATTTTAAAATAATATGTTTGAAAAATAGGAACTTATATGCACACATGCATAGCCAATGAACATAGAGAACAGTACAGTGAAGGCAGAGTAGAGGGGGAGCGGGGAGGAGGGTATGAAAGGGGGGAAAAGGAGGGACATCTGTAATAAAAAATATTTAACAAATTAAGTATTAAAAAATGAGAAAAAAATTTCCTGTCTGATGATAAATATATTTACAAAATATAATAACAAATATAAAATTATGAGAGTGTTCATTCATTTTTTTTTTCATTCAACACACCCTGAGTGTAGGGTTGCTCGATTTAGCAGATAACAATATAGGACACCAGTTCAATTTGTATTTCATATTTTTAACATAAGTATGTCCCATGCAATATTCGAAATATATTTTAAAAGTTCATTGCTTATTTGAAATTCAAATATAACTGGAAGTACTATGTTTTATCTGCCACCTTAATCAAATGCCTATATGTACGTGCATTTGTATCCTGTATACCACTGAGATACATAATGGAGAAAAAAAGTAGGTAATATACGTGCATGGTTCAAAATCCAAAAGGTACAAAATGAGTCAGCCTCTCATCACCTTTCCTATAACAAAGCAGTCTGTTCTGTTCTTTGTAGTGGCCACTATTAACATTTCTTGTATTTCCTTCTAGAAATAATCTGTGCATATAAAAGCATATGTTATATGTCTTATAACATTTTGTCATATTTCTCTATATAAAATTATACCATACACACTGTTCTGGACTAGCAAGATATATTTTGGCCATTGTTCCATACCATTGCTTGGAGAACTGCTTCATTTTTCTATTCAGGACTGCCTTGTATGGCTTTACGATATTTAATTTAACCAGTTCCAAACTGATGGACACCTAGATTTTTCCAGATCTTTTGCTACTCTAATGTTGCTTGTGTGCATTGTATATCCACTGTACATCTGAACTTGGCATTTAAAATTTTGATATATATTGTCAAACTAGTATGTCAAGATTGTTGTAATTTAAACTCATTGATCATCTCTTGACACATTTAAGACATCTCTTTTTCCATTTCTTTGAATTGTCTGTTCATGTCCCTTGCCCATTTTTCTGTTGGTTTGTTGATCTTTTTCTTATTGGTTTATAGGAACTTATTAAAAATTGAGTAAATTAGTTTTTTGATGTATTTAGTTAATGCTTTCCGCAGTTTCTTATTTATCTTTAATTTTATCAAATTCTTTATCATGCAAGAAGTTATTATTTTTATGTAATTTTAAAAAACTTTCATCCTCTAACCACACAACTTAGATACCACATGGTTGCTATCATTCCTGATAATTCCAGTTGAATGATATAATAACTAGAAAAATATACAGAAGATAAAAAAATAGTTCTGGATATTTTGCTTTTAGAAAATTTCCTGGACCAATTAAGCATTAATATCTAAAAGTATTATAATACCATAAGTGGGATTGTAGGTCAAGAAAGAAAGGAGGTTTTATAGATTATCTGATTGAACCAGCATTCCTAAGTACCTGTAGTATGCAAAACTCTGTACTGGGTATTGTAATAAAGGGGATATAACCTTCAGTGAATTCTGAGGTTAGGAAAGGTCTATGGGATAACTGATAGAATTAGGGAAGAGTTGAAAAGATTACATTTAGGAAAATTAAAGTAGTTTCCTAGTTCTTCTGCTCCTAAGCTTCCTGACCACTTCTTAAGTCGTCTGGGGTTTCACAATCTCTATTCTTGACTGGAAGCAAGTCCCAAGGATTTAGCCTGCTTTCCACCATCTTTGCTTTCTTATTTACTTATTTTTGGATCTTTGTGATTTAGTGTTTGCCACAAGTACTATCAAATACAATAGTCTTTCCATCCAACTGCTTTCATTATCCTTAAAGATTAGAACATAAAACCTTTAATGACCATGGTTTATTGTTGATCACCATGTGTGCACAGATAAGAAATTTAAAATACGTATGGGAAGTTAGAAAATACAACAAGAATATATTACTGAGTTTTTGTAATAATGCGTTGTAGTTCTGGATTCCCTTGCTGAGATGGCCTTTCACCTTCTGTTTTTGTTTTTGCTTATCCTCCACCCTTAAAACTTTCCCTTTTGTCTGACCTCCTGTTTAGTGAAGGGCATACTGATTCCTTTCTCCATACTGACATAATGGTCTATGTTTTAATTTTCTTGTAGAGCTAGACAAGCAGAACGGGGGTAATCTCTTGTACCAGGTATAGTCTATAAATTTACCTGGAACCATATTATACTTTCTTCTTTTTGGCTTCGGGGATAGTAGTTTGTTTTCCTCTCCAGGGTTAATCCTCCCTTTGCTTTGCTGACATTAAATTTTATTTGTATTCACATATTTGTTACCTGTATTTGATTATTTTTATTTGTTTTTAGGTAAAATTTGGTAATACTACTTTTAAAACAGATGTATATCTCAAATCCCTCAACCCTCAGTGGAACTCGGAATGGTTTAAATTTGAGGTAAGTTTTTAAATGTTAAAATTTTTTAGTGTGTGTTTTTGAGGTGACCCATTCCATAGGAATGATAAGAATACCTTTTATTTCAGATATAAGTAGTTTTTCTATACCATACCAATATTTCTCAGGAATATTGCATTTTTATTTTTTATTATTTTATTTTTAAAAATATGTTTTTATTGCTTTTAGAGAGAGGATGGGAGAGGAAGAGAGAGAAACATTCATGAGAGAGAAACAAACATCGATAGGCTGCCTCCTGCATACCCTGTACTGGTGATTGAGCCTGAAACCTTGGCATGTGTCCTGACTGGAAATTGAACCAGTGACCTCTAGGTGCACACTCAACTATAGACTGCCCTCCATTTCAGACACCAGCCACAAGCCCAGGCTCTTACCTGTGTTTCTGACCAACTGGTTATAGATTGGAGGTTCCCACGATCCTTTCTCCTCGGGTTCAATTAATTTGCTAGAACGGCTTTCAGAACTCAGAGAAACATGTTACTAGATTACCAATTTATTACAAAGGATATGAATCAATAGCCAAATGAAGAAATATATAATGTGAGGTCTCGATCAAAGGAGTGTCTGTCCTTATGGAGCTGGGGCCCAGCATTGTGGCATGTGGAAGCTCTTCTTGTTCCCCAACATGGAAGCTCTCCGTTAAAGGACCAAGGAGCTGTCCTCTTGGGTTTGTTATGGAGGCTTCATTACATAATCATGATTGACTAAGTCTTGGCCATTGGCAACTGAACACAATCTCCAGACCCTTTCCCCTCCGAAGAGGTGGGGGGATAGCATTTGGAAATGAAAATTCCAAACCTCTAGTCACTTGGTTGGTTTTCCTGGCAACCAACCCCTACTCTTGAGTGGGGTCCAGAAGTCACCTTATTAACATAGCACCTTTATCACTCTCACTTCTTAGGAAATTCTAGGGGTTTTGGGAACCATGAGCTAGGAATTGTGGAGTAAGACCAAATATCTTATAAATCACACAATTGTGAACCCACCTATCTAGCTCTATGTAATGACTTATGCTTATATTTCTACTTGCAAAGGAGGCTAGGAAGGGTAGTCTTTTGGCTGGGTATCTTTCTGTACAGCTAAAATTTTTAAACAAACATTTCTGAGAAACTCTCAATCAATTAAAATTAATTCCCAAACTTCTCTATTCAGACTATTCACATTATTAGCTATCTATGTATATATCATGAATTATTTCTAGGCAGTTAGTATAGAGTCCTATAATGTCAGGTAAGGGATACCTTATATTCTATGAGATAAGATGATAGTACTCATAGGTGAATGAGTGTATGTAAAATAAGTGTAAACAAAAAATGTTATCAATGTAGTTAGAAATTGGAGGGACATCTTTGGAGGAATGGTTAATGGCTTAATTTATTATTATTTTCTTTTCATTAAATATATAGATAATGCAGTAGTGGTAGAGAGAATGCCATTGATGAATCAGAATGGATTGGAACACAAAATGATCGTTTTATTTAACTTTTTTTTTTTGGTACATGCCCCTAGCGGGAACGGAACCCGGGACTCTGGTCCACAGGCTGATGCTCCAACTGCTGAGCCAAACTAGCCAGGGCAATTTAACATTTTATTAATGGAAATTTTCAAATATGCACAGAAGTAGATAGATTAGTATATTGAGCTACTTATCCATCACCTATCTTTACTTTTACTTACCAAAGTTGTTTACATTTTGCTATTCTTGTTTTATTTGTTACCAAACCCTCCAGTTTTTTTGGGGGAAGTGGTGCAGGAATATTTAAAGGCAAATAAAAATATTATGCAATTTTATCCATAAAAATTTTAATTATGTCTGTCTTAGAGAGAAATACCCCTTTTTAAAAACAAGTCATCAAGTAATGTATTTTAATTCTTATAATAATCTTCAGAGGCTGGATTGTTAACCTAAAATCAATAAGAAATTAAACAGGGAATGAAGAAAGGCATAATGTTTCATAATTAAGTTTAAAAATTTAACCAAAGTGTTGGGATTGCATAGATGTTGCTTGATCAAAGCGTATATAAGAAACATACAGACATTTTAGTTAACTACAAACTCAGTCTTCATTAGCAGTATGGTATATCTGCTGTAACAACAAGCATTCATAGACTTCATTTAAAAAGTATAGTATTTTAGTTACAGGAAATGCTCCTTTTGTATGCTGTCCTAGACTTATTACTATCTATAATATTGTGTTCCATCTAGCCACTATATATATTTTTGTTTGTTTGTTTGTTTGTTTTAGCATAAACAGAAAATATTTTCTCACAATTCTGGAGGGAAGAAGTCTAAAGATCAAGGTGCCAGAAAATTAGCCACTATGTTTGATGAGGAGTACTGGCAAATTAGAGAATGGCAGCCAAAACAGTGAATGTGTCTTCCATGAGAGATAATTTTTTTTTCTTTTTCTCTGTTTTAGTCAGTTTAGGTTGCTGTAAGAGAATACCGTAGACTACGTGGCTTAAACAATAGCATTTTATTCATCACAGTTCTGGATGATGGGAAGTCTGAGATCAGGGTGCCATCATTGTTGGGTTCTGGTGAGGACCCTCTTTCTAATTTGCAGATGGCCATTTTCTTGTTGTACCCTTACATGATGGGGCAAGAACTCATCTTTCCCTGTCTTTACTAATAAGGGTACTAATCTCATTCATAAGGGCTTCATCTTCATGACCTAATTACCTCCTAAAGGCCCCCATTTCCCAATACCATCATGTTAGGTATCAGGGCATCAACATTGTATTTTGTGGGGACACAAACATTTAGTCCATTGCATTCTCTATTGTAGTCCCTCTCTTTGGCACAGTGCTTGGCATGTGTTAAGTAGTTGATAACGAGTAAGCAAAAAGAGAGAGAGAGGGTAGACATTTATTTCATAAACTAAATTCATGAACTTAAGTTGTTTTTTTCTTACAAATAGTGTTAGTTTTACTTACAGTTTTCTCTGAAATTGTGCTTAGAAATTATGGTGTCATTGTGCTCTTTAGTATCCTTACTGTGTAGATAATATATGGACTCTGTTATGACATTTCTAAAGCATTTTTGCTAGAAACCATTTGTAGAGTAGTAAAACACAGAATAATATATAGAAAAGGAATCACAACTCTTTGTGTGTGTTAATTATCCTAACTTTGTGCTTGAGGTAAACTACTTTTTTCCCCCAGAAACTTGCCATCTTGTATAGAAAATGGAGTTACAACTTTTTGTTTGTATATTAATTGGACCACCCCCCCTGAAATAACTAATCTTTTACATTTGGTATATATATACATTTATGGTAATGAAGATTTTTAAATTACAAGATTTAATTTTAAGGTATACTTTTAGGTGGATGATGAAGATTTACAAGATGAACCTCTACAGATCACAGTTCTTGACCACGATACTTATAGTGCAAATGATGCCATTGGTAAAGTGTACATTGATATCGATCCTTTACTCTACAGTGAAGCTGCAACAGTCATTTCAGGATGGTTTCCAATTTATGATACCATACATGGTAAGGAGTATATTTTAAGAAAATAAATCACAATCTTTTATCCTTAAAGAATATTACCTACCCTTGGTTTTAAAATATATATCTTTAAATGTCTTCTATTTAGATTTAGTAAAGTATTGTTGGTAGAATTGTTTCTTTTCTGAACATAATTTGAAAAACTTTTCTGAGTTAAATTTTTACAGTGTAGTTAGTAAATGCATTATTTAAAAATTGTTTCACATTTGTACTCTATGTTCCAAAACATACTTTCAAACTGTATTCCATTAAGCTAGACTTTACAGAGATTTGCAAAAATGTAACCCAATGCCACTCTTATTTTTCCAAATGTAGTTATTTTTATATAAAAAGCATTGCATATATTAACATAGACTTATTATTACTTTAAATAGAACAATAAGCCAATATTTTTTTAAATTTTCAATTTTAATTTATAATATGGTAAACATTGATAGATATGAGTCACATATACAAAAACTCTTTGAAGTCCTCAATAATTTTTAAGATTGAAAAGGGTCCTGTGATCAAAAAAGTTTGAGAACTGCTAGCCGTATTTTTAGAATGGTAAATGGACCCAAAAGGAACTGGCAGATTTTTCTATCTGCAGTCTTGCGTCTTTCTGCCTGTTTTACATTTTTGACCTGGCAATTCCATTGATAGTCATATTTATAAGAAAATAAGATGTTTGCTGAGATTTATGTATATTTATTTTATTGTTACTTATATTCTATTATTATTTAGTAATGTTTAAATTGGTACAAATAAGTTGGAAAGTAGGATTTACTTAAATAATTTAGAGCACATATAGACCATAAGTTACACAGTCAGAACTAAAAGAATGTTTTCATAATACAGTGGCATAAGGAAATGTGCATGATGTATTATGAATTGCAAAATCCAGATTATAAAACATTATTGGATGATCCCAAATTTGTTTAGAAACAAGGGAATTGCATATATCTAATGCTGTTGGCTAAATTGGCAGAATATGTGATAAAAATGTTTATCCTTAGATAGTTTTAATTCTGGACTATAATTCTATTTTTCCTCTTTTACCTTTTTTCATACTTTATGCAGTTGTATACAAGTTGAGGCAAAAGTAGATTACAGTTGTTTATAAGGACAATAATACTATAATTAAAAGTAATACGAGAATGAACTGTTTCACGTGCTCACAACTGTAAACCTACTTATGCCCCACCCTGTCTGTACCATCTTTTTAATCAAAAAATAAAATCCTGATTTATGTTATATTACCAATAAAAATAGCCACTGGAGAATTAATCTGGGCTTGGATTAAAGGCGGTAACTGTATGAATAAATGAATTTTTTACACATATTATATTGAATATTGCATATAGTTGGTTTAATATGTTACATGGGCTCTTTGTTAGGAACATAATCTATTAGTTCATTGGGTAAATGTGCAAGTCACTCTTCTTAGAAGAGTTCTTCCATAAGTATGTATTTGACAGGAAGTCAGGACAGTCAAATAAAAATATTTAGTAAATGTTTAGATAGAGGCTGGGCCATTTTTATTTGTTAGAGAATCTTCTGAAAACGTTTTATCTTAGAATTTCTTAGTTAGCTTATTTTAACTGTTTACTCTATGTTCATTGAAAAGAATTAAAGTTCTTTTGTGTTAAAGCAGATTCTTGCATAATTGTTAAGAACATTTACTCCAGGATAATAAAGATCTGACTTTTAATCCTGGCTTCATCATTTACTAACTACTGACACTATGCAAATTATTGAACTTTTATTAAACTTTAATTTTTTTCCTCTGAAATGGGGATTCTAATACTACAGAAATTACCTTACTTGGTTGGTGTGAGCAGTAGGAGATACTACTTATAAAGTATTTAGAATGTTATCAGTGTTCAGCCAATGTTATCATCATCAATTTAAATGGTATTCCTTTCTAGTTAGATTGGTTCAAGTTAGTAGAGACTTGTGGTAAAAATGAATATTATTCATTCTTTAATGCAAACGTGTTCTTTAGAAAATGTAATAAACTGCTTAGAATGAAAATAATTAGGAAACAAAGTTAGCATTGCTGTTGTGATTGATATATTATTTTAAAATCATTAATTGGCATTTGATTGTTTAATTATACTTTTTTTAAAAGGTAGAAACATGATATTCTTTTTGAAATTATAGGTATTCGTGGGGAAATCAATGTAGTTGTCAAAGTAGACCTCTTTAATGATTTAAATCGATTTAGGCAGTCATCATGTGGAGTCAAATTCTTTTGCAGTAAGTAAATACATTTTATTACTCATTTCACGGGAATTTTAATAATTGATAAATATGGGAAATCAAATTACTATTTTAGAAGGCTAATGGAAAATCTATTATGCTTTAGTTTTAATGCCAAAGAGAAAATTGTTAATTTTTCAGAAACAATAGCTGTATCTCTGGGGACTACTTATCTGATTTTAAATTAAATGAAAATTTTTATTAAAAAAATTCAGTGGGGCACATGTGTGCATGTGGTCGTCATGACAATGCCAATGGCCCACAGGGAGGCTGTACCCAGCCTACCTCAACTCTGGCCCCTTCTCCAGATCCTATTCCAGTCTCTAGCTCGGACTATGAGCATGATTAGAAGGAATAACATTAAACATTGCCGATAAGAGCCACTTAATGCCAGTAGAAAGAGTACCAGGTGAAGATTTTTGGAGTTTTCCTAGAATTTTAAAGGATCCATATATTAATGAAACAACTTGATCTCATTTACTTTTTTAATTTTTAAAGATTTTTAATTGAGTTTTAGAGAGAGAGGAAGAAGAGGGAGAGAGAGAGAGAAACATCAATGTGAAAATGAAACATCTACTGGCTGCCTAGTGCACGCCCCCTATTGGGGATAGAGCCCATGACCTGGGCATGTGCCGACCAGTAATTGAACCAGCGATCTTTCCGTGCACGGGACAACACCCAACCAACTTAGCCACATTGGCCGGGCATTCTCATTTACTTTTAAACCTTGTTTCATGGATATTGGGCCCAAAGGTGGAGAATTGATTGTTAAAGCACTATATAAGAATAACATTCTGAGATACCTAAGAATGACTGGAAACAAGATTGAAAACAAAGGTGGAATATTTTTTTGCTGCGATGCTACAAATTAATTTATCCTTAGAGAAATTAGATCTGGGTGCCTTTCATTTGAGAATATAAAGTATGATAACATTTGCTACAGCCCTAACTCAACACCAAATAACTAAGGGAATAAACCTAAACCAACCTATACTGTATGACAAACAGAAAGACTCTACAGCTTGTCTAGGCCACATGTTGAAAGAAAATTCCTGCCTTATTGAACTACATATGTGTAAACATATAAAAATTGTGATATAAAACAGGTAATGTACTGTATCTGAAGAGTAGCCTATGTTACCTTGATGTCCACTGGTTGTCATTAGTCAGCAACAACACAGAGGCAGAAGGACCTGCTGCACTTTCTCAGTCAGTGGAAATAAATACCATACTCTCTAATATCTGTATTTGGGGAAACAAATTTGATGAGGCTACATGTGTGGCATATTCAGACTTCATTCAGATGGGACATCTAAAACTAAATACAGATGTGGAGCCCTTTGTGGTAGATGTATGTGTGTATCTTGCAGAAGTCTCCAGTGGCCTTAAAAACCATAATTATTGGACACCAACTTATGGAGAAGCTTGTGGACACTCATCTCACACAGGTTTTACTCTTGTGCCAGTAGGTCAACATCTATGAAAAACAAGGTTAAAAATAACTGTCACATACTTGCTTTATTACTTTCATTTTATTATTTTATTGCCTATTAAATTTATTTTCATAAGTTAGAACAAGTTACTTTTGTCAAATGTGTAAAAGATATGACTATATTAAACTTAGTATAACTATCAAAAAGAAAAAAAATCCAGCAGTATTTTACTCTAGTAGAGGGCTCTGAAAGATAGGAGTAGAGCACTATAGCCAAGCACTATGGTGCTATCTTAAATTACATAGGGTTCTGTTCTACAGGTATGGAGTCCCATGAACACCATACAGCATGGGTCAGAATTGGGCAGATCTGGCAATTCATAACCTGATTGGATTAATAGGGTTGAAAATTCCTCAGTGTGTTAGCTTCAAGGCATGAATGTCTATTTTAAGAAACTAGTTTGATGTAGATGTTCTCAGGTTCTTCCTTTTTTGAATCTGACCAGATTTTAGTTAAATCCAATGACATTTAGACACATTAAATGAGTCTGTTAAGTAGGGTGACTACTGAACCATTGGCCATATGGTCATGGATTATTAGAAACTGCAGAGCTGTATTACTCCTTAGATTGTGTTAGAAGGTTTGATTTTTGAGGCTGGGGCTAGTGTACAGAACTTTTTCACAGAGCTTTGAGTAAATAAAGTCTTTTGTATTAATTATCTGCTTTTCATGTATTTAGATAATAATCATCTAGATGGCTTTAATTTTGATTTTTATGCTTTGTAGTGATTGCTACTTAAGAAGTCTTAGCTATTTTCTAAATTATGAAAGTACAATTTATAGCCCCGCTGGTGTGGCTTAGTGGACTGAGTGTCATCCCATGGACTGAGAGGTCCCAATTCAATTCCCGGTCAGGGTACATGCCGGGGTTTGGGGCTCGTTCCCCAGTGGGGAGCGTGCAGGAGGCAGCTGATTGATTGAGAAACTCACATTGATGCTTCTCTCTCTCCTTTCCTCTCTCTTAAAAAAGAAAATCAATAAAAACATATTTTAAAAAGTACAATTTATATTCATTATGCTTATGTGGGAAAGATGAGAGGTCTTGTGAAAGAAATTATTTGTAAGAATAAAATAGAACTTAGAAGACTGTTTGAGAGTATTATTATAATTACATTTAAATTATCACAGTTAAAGATATATCTTGTACTATATACCCAAAAGGTAAGAACTTAGTTGTACATTTAAAAAATAATCTAATTTAATCTTGTGATAAAGAAGCATAATAGACTATTTCTTTTAACAGCAACATCTATTCCAAAGTGCTATAGAGCTGTAATAATTCATGGATTTGTAGAAGAACTTGTGGTCAATGAAGACCCAGAATATCAATGGATTGATCGAATTCGTACACCAAGGGCATCAAATGAGGCCAGACAGAGACTCATTTCTTTAATGTCAGGTATTTTTTTTAAAAAAAACTTCATTAGGGATTGACTTAATACTCCTAAATTTTTCACTTCCTTTTGACATACTACCTCAAATTTTGCAATGAAAACTGTTATAAGTGACTGATTCCCACATGAATTTTCATCTTATAACAAGAAGAAATCTAATCAGAAGGTTATAATTCCTTCTTAACTAGGCAATAAAAGGAAACTGCTTGTACAGTGGTATAGTGGAAAGTGCCCTTAGCAAGGAGGTGGGAAACTGGGTTCTGGTTTTTTCTCTTTAGCATTTGTTTGTAGTCAGATTTAGGTAATCTTGCTAATGCTTTCTGTTCAAATGCTGCCTTTTCATAGTGCTCCTCTGACAATTTATAGCTCCTACCTCTCCCTGCCATTCTTGCCCAGTTACTTTTCTTATTTTCTTTGAAGAACTTATTTATCATCTAAAATGTATGTTTATACGTATATATGTGTGTGTCTATATACACACACATTCATACATATATACTATATAATAAATAAGTATAAATATTTATATGTAATAAATGTATATATTTTAAGTATATATACTAATATATTACTACTAAATTAATTACATTTATACTTATATTATTTATAAGTATATATTTGTATTTTAAATTATACTTATAATTTTATACTTATAAATATATTTATACTTATATATTATTAAATTAATTATGTAATTCATATTTTAAATAATTATAAATATATTCATATATCTATTATACTTAATATATTAAATAATACACTTAATTATATTTGTATTATATTTATTCTACATATTTGTGTTATATGATATGTAATCATATATAATACATAACATATATAATTATATTAGACTATATTATGTGCTATGTGTTGTATATGTTATATGTAATGTTTATATTTGTTGTTTTTTTGTTTGTTTCACTTACATTATGTAAACTCCACTACATTGGGGTTTTACTCTTCTAGGTTATCTCTGTATATCTAGCCCTTAGAAGAAAGGGGGCCCTGGCCTGTTTGGCTCAGCGGTTGGAGTGTCACCCTGCGGACCAGAGAGTCCCGGGTTCTGTTCCCGCTAGGGGCACGTACCAAAAAAGAAAAAAGGGGGAATACCAGGCACATAGCACACGACCAACAGTTATTTGGTAAATGAATGCATGAATAAGTGAACCTTACCTGCCACATCTGTAGAACGTAGCTAATAATGTCTTACCTCCCTGAAAGCAGGTTCCTTTCAAGTTCTAAAAATCCATGTCTTTTTAGACTCTTGTATTACTACCATATCCAGTTTTGTTTCATTTATTGTGGAGAGGTAAAGCAGAATGAGTTTTCTTCCTTTTTCGTAGGTGAACTGCAGAGGAAGATTGGCTTGAAAGTGCTTGAGATGAGAGGAAATGCAGTTGTTGGGTATTTACAATGTTTTGATCTAGAAGGCGAATCTGGTTTAGTGGTACGAGCCATAGGAACAGCGTGTACACTGGATAAATTAAGTAGCCCAGCAGCATTCCTTCCTGCATGTAATTCCCCATCCAAAGAAATGAAGGAGTAAGTATGAATCAATGAATTGTTCTTAAGGAACTTTTTATCTTTTACCTATACATTTTCATTGGATTTGAAACAATTTAATGGTGGTGTTCAACATATTTGTTCCTAAGTGATTTTTTTTTTTATCAGAGATGACTGTCAACATTTGAAGCTTAAAACTATGTAGATATTCCTGATATTTTATTTATACTCTTAATATGAAATTCAAATAAAGTAACATAAAATTAAACTTATCCGGATCTTTAAACACTGTATATCTAAAGCATAAAATGAATTATTTATGCTTTGTGTGGAATTCTACTTATTCTCTGGGGAATGTTTAAAACTCTATACCTGATAACTTAATTATGCTTGTTATTAGTAACATACTATAGAGAGCAGGAAAGATTGACTTGTGCCGGGGTCTCAAACTTGAATGTCTACAGAGGCCAAGCAGTGTTTATAAATAATTGGGTATAATTAAACAGGTAATACTGGGGACTGTATAAAGCAGATGTCGGCAAACTTTTTCTGTAAAAGGCCAGATAGTAAATATTGCAGACACTAGCTGGATGGTTTCTATCTTTGTTTACTAAAAAAAAGGAGTTTGCTGATCCTGATCTAAAGGAGTTTAGGCTCACACATTTTTTAAAAAGTACGTGTGATTCAAGAAAACACCTTTGTTGGCTGGATTCAGCCTGTGTGTCATTGTTCAACATGGTGGCGCAGGTACTATCAAAAGGGAATGTTTGAAACAAACTGTCATAATGATTGGGGTGAGGGAGACGATCCTGTTGGAGATTAGAAATGTGGACTATTGTACACAGCAAGCAAAAACTCTGCTATGAAAACTTTTTCCATCCTAAATGCCAGTAGTACTTCCAGTGAGACTCACTGGTCTCAAAATTCTTCTAGATCAAGGATCAACAAACTTTTTCTGTAAATAACCAAAAGGTACAGGTAAATAATTTAGTCTTTGCTAACAGCAGCTTCTCAGCTCTGATGCTGTTGTGTGAAAGCAGCAATCTAACAGTATGCAAATTAAGGAGTATGGTTGTGTTCCAATAAAATTTACTTCCTCACAAAACAGATGGCAGGATAGATTTAGCCTGTAGTGTTTGATTTGATGACACCTTTGCTGTATCATTAGGGAGTCAGAAAACCTGAAGTGTTTCCTAGTTCAGCAGTAGTCAAGAGAGGTTGACTAGAAACCAATCATAATCTGTTTTTAAAAACAATCTTTTTAAAAAAGATTTTCACTTTATCTTAAGTTTATTCTCTTTGTTTAATTATTTCCTTTTTGCTGGCCTTTAGTTATTCGGATTACATTTTAGTCACAAGAGGGAGCATATATATTGCCTAATTTTATTTGGAAATACATTACAAGTGAAATAATTGTTTAAAATAAATTGGAAGAGAGAATTTGCTTTATATTCCATTTAAGATGTGTCTTAAAAATATATCAACTGCCTGTTGCTACAGGTAAAGTCAGATTGCAGGGGTAGAGATTTAGGGGGTGGAACTCAGATTTTTTTTCTCTTTCCATAGCAAGTTTAAGGACCTGGGTCCCTCCCCCTGCCACCCTCCATCTTTATCTATACTGCCTTAAGGGGTCTGGCTTTGCAGCTGTGATGTCTGAAGTTTTCCTCTTTTCACTAAATTATTAATGGAAAGAGAAAGCTAGATTAGCCATTGGTGTTTTAGAATGATGTATGTATGAGTAGTAGGGGAATGCGATTTGTTTGTATTCAGGAAGTGTTACAATAATGTAAATCTTCTGGGATTGGGTAAATTTTCTCCTTTTCTAATATTGTTGTAGCCATTTGCCTTAAATTGTCAAATAGTCACACCATGAAGAATGTAAGTTGCTTCATTAAGATTTTCTGGAAGACATCTTACTACCTAAAAACCAAAAACCCTTAATACTCAGGCTGCTTTATTTCCACTAGCTTCTTTGTTTTTTTTTTTTTTTTTTTTTTTTGGTACGTGCCCCTAGCGGGAACCAAACCCAGGACTCTCTGTTCCGCAGGCCGATGCTCCAACCACTGAGCCAAACAGGCCAGGGCACTTCTTTGTATTTTTTATAATGAATCAATTTGAGTGCTAGCTTAAAGTTGTTTTATGATTCAGTTGATTATAATTATTTTGGTATTTAATGATAACATTGTTGATTTTAGACAGGATTTTGATAAAGGTAGTTTGGATTATGTTCCTTCCTGAATGGATTTGATATTAGAAGTGCCACTAGGGTATTATTATAAGGCAACCTTTCATGCAAGGAGGTTGATAAGAATTAGAACTCCAAGAATACATTATGATGATGCTGCAGTATATTTGCATTTTAATGTGATGTCATAATTTGAACATTTTACAATGTTCATCTTATTGTATTCATTTCATTTTACCTTTATTAATGGTGTGTCCTATTCCATCAGGTTTTTTTTTTCCTTTTAGATGTTTAATGTAATGCACAATATAAATCTTTTTGGTGTTTCTTAGCTGAATTATCTTGATGATAGAAAAGTGCATTTAAATATGATTTAGCCCTGGTTGGTTTGGCTCAGCGGCTGGAGCGTCGGCCTGCGGTCCCGAGAGACCCGGGTTCGGTATCTGCTAAGGACACATATCTCGGTTGCAGTTTGTCCCCGGCCCTGGTTGGGTTGTGCGGGTGGCGACTACTCGATGTGTCCCTTTCACGTCGATGTTTCTCTCTCTCTCTCTGTCTCTCTCCCTCCCACTCTATCTGAACAAAATATCAAAAAAAAAAAAATGTCCTCGGGTAAGGATAAAAAAATATATATGATTTATTGCTTGTCTATTTTAGGAAAAAAAGTACTTTCTAAAGACTTCAGTCGTAATTCCTCCTCTTTTTAATGAACTTTTTAAGTTCATTAGTCACTTCAACAGAGAAAGAAAAAACAAAAATAAAACCTTACTTATTTTGTATACAAATAAATCACCAATGAGATGTTTTGATTTTTATCAGTTATATTAAACACATTTTAAATTTAAACTAGCAACAAAAACATTTGTCTTGTTGTAAAATCAGTGATATTTTCAGAAAATAGTCTGTAGACCATTTTTGCTGATCAATGATAGATAGCTCATGTTTGAACCTTGATAGATTGTGATTGTTGGGAATGTCCAGTGGGCAATGGAAAAGAGAAAAAAAACAGGAAAAGTTGGGCTCTTGGCCTGCTTTTAATTTCAATTCTAAAATAAATGGTGATATGATAGTTTTCCAGAGTGTATACAAGAATTCTTTTCACCTCCTTGTGCATAAGCGAAGGCATTACATAGTGAAATAATTGCTAATATGAAGTTTAGGATTCTTAATTCTATAATATACTTTTTTCCCTCATCCAATGTAACTATGACCTTTTATTTTTTTTATTTTTTTTATCCTCACCCGAGGATATTTTTCCATTTTTTTTTTGTACAGATAGAGAGGGAGGGAGAGAGAGGAAGGGAGAGAGAGAAACATCGACGTGAAGGGACACATCGAGTGGCTGCCACCCGCACGACCAACCAGGGCCGGGGACAAACTGCAACCGAAGTACGTGCCCTTAGCGGGAACCGAACCCGGGTCTCTCCGGACCGCAGGCCGACGCTCTAACCGCTGAGCCAAACTGGCCAGGGCTAACTATAACCTTTTAGCCAAATTTCTTGATGAAAATTTGAAATGTTGTATATGAATATATATACCTGTATGTCTGATCTAAATATATCCGTACATGTGCATGATCTGGTCTTTACAAGATATAAATTAATGTCTTAAAAAATTTCAATTCAGAATGTAGTTTAATCTGTTTACATTTAAATAATATATTCTGTTTGAGAGAGAGCTAGACAAAAATAATTTGCATTGTGTTTTCAAAAGCGGTGTTTCCTTGCTTTGTTTTGTTCCCAGTATAACTTGGGTTTAAGCTGTATACTTCGTGTGCTAAAATATGCAATGTTTATATCTGCTTATGTCCATTCTGTGCAGTAATTTCTCTTTACGCTGTCATTTTTCTTATTTTTAAGTACCCCTGTCTCAAGATTCTAGACAGAAACAATTTTGTTAGTTAAACTTTCTTTATGGAAAATATATCAGCAATTATTTATATCTCAGTTTCAAAGGTAATATAAGAACTTATATTTGACTTTTTACTTTTATGGGTGTTTTCTCCCTAAAATACTGTGTAGTGACCTCTGTGGTGATGAAAATAATAACAAACATTATAAAGCAACTTAAATCCAAATCTTAGTGTTTTATTTTTTTAAATTTTTAATTCCACTGACAATTTTGTCTGCTATTTTTCATATTCACAGTCCTAATTTATTAATCTGATCCTTTAAAACTATAACTATATCCTAATGAATGAATGAATATCTAGCTATTTTTAACTTGTTTTTTGCATGCTAGGGATTAAAAATATAGTTCCTCTCCCTTAACTAAAGCTTCTTTGAGATTATTTTAACATAACTTTGCTATCTGTTGTATGTATTGTTTTCTTTTCTTCCACTTTGACCACAAATTCCCTCAGGTCTCCGCTGGTTCATCCTCCAAGCCATGGATGCCGCTCGACTCACAACAGCCCAATTCACACTGCTACTGGCTCACGACTTACTCAGAACTTCTCTGTGTCTGTTCCCACTCTCATCTATACTGGTACGAGACTGCTCAGACTCCAGAGCTGGGGAAGGCAGGCCACAGGCAGAGTGGCCTGCAGAGGGCAGGCAGGCAGGCAGTGTAGGCAGGTACCACAAGTCTTGGCTTCTTCCTTTTCTCACTCGAAGTCCACCTGCAGTGAAGAAATCCTGTATTTAGCCTCAGTAGAGGCTCTAACTACATGGAAGTGAAAGTGTTCTTTCAGTTTCCAAAGTCTCTTCCATAGATCCTCTAAGAACCCTGTCTTGTGTGTGTGTACTCTGAGTTTTTATTAGAATTCTCCAGTATGTATTCTTGCCATTACAACTACATTTGGTTAGGGAAAAAAAATTGATGATTGAATTCTAAACAAAATAGCTACCAAAGCTTCTACAAAACTTGTTATAGTAGGGTCTGTTTGATTCTGTGGAAGAGAGCTTTTGGAAAACAGGTAAGCAGCTATTCTGCATAAAATGCAATGTTTCTCTCTAGTTATATTCATTTTCCTCTTGCTGTGTTTTTAGCTGTGGCACTCTTGATGCTATAGGATAAGGAAACATTTTTCTTTTGACAATATCTCTGTGTGTGCAAATATAAAAACAATTGTGAATATTTACACACACCATTTGCAGTCATCATTATTTCTTTGGTAACTTAAAAAAAGCATTGTTTATTTGAAAGTATTTTCAGTCATGTATTTATTCTTTTTGTTTATTTCTCCTTTTAATATTTTTTGCCCCCCTTAGTCTGTCATTTCATGCTTTTTTGCTTTTTTACTTGGCTTATTAACTGTTTCAATGCAGATAATTATTTATCTGAAGAATGATGAATGGCTAAACAGCAGTTGGTTGACTTTGGCCTCATACCCAGCTCCACATTTAAGAAATGACTGCTGGCCCTGCCCCAGTACTTTCCTGGTGTTTGGATCATGCTGCCTTCTGTCAAGTCCTTTGGCACATGATTACTTAATATTTCTCCACCTTCTTCTGGCAGGATTCCCTTCAATGAAGATCCCAACCCCAATACTCACTCATCAGGACCCTCCACCCCTCTGAAAAACCAAACTTATTCCTTTTCACCTTCCAAGTCCTACAGTCGACAGTCCTCTTCTTCTGACACAGATTTGAGTTTGACACCCAAAACTGGTAAGGCGCTTCCACCCACCTTTTATTTTATTTTTTCAAGTTTGTTTCTGTTCCTTGTTAGCTTTCCATCCAAGCCTTTTCTCCTGTTTTTTTGGCATTTAAGTTAAAAGATAATGTGAATAGTGATCATTTTCAGTTACTACAATTAAATTATGAAAATTTTGTGTAGTTCAGAAATTAATGTGTTCAGAGATCTGCATTTTATTGGTTTAATCATAGTGTAGATACAAAGTCCAGGATTTATTTTTGCATGTAGATAATTTTCATTTTGTGCTCAAATTAAGGGGAATAATATCTTAAATCATTTGAATAAAAAGTAACACTAATAGCTTGCAGTTGAATTCCTTACGCAGTATAAGCATTTTGAATTTCTGAATTTATTTGTAAGATTTTATTATGAAAAAAACTAAAATGGTTATTTTGAAATATATCTGTTAACTTTTTGTTATTTAAAATGTTTGATTTTTTTCTTATTTTCTAGATTAGAAAATAGCAGTTTTGCTTTACTTATTCTTGCATATGTCTCAGTGTATGAATTTATAATTTTTTCCTCTCCTATGTGTGTTTTGATAATCTGAGTTTTTATTAATATGACAAAATTGATTAAAATTTAAATTAGTTTTCTACTCTATAAAATAGATTTAACTTATTATTCTCAAGAAAAATAAAACATATAAAAGTTAATAGTTTGCAACTTTTGTAAACATTATTTTTATCTGGCAGTTTTCTTGCCAGATTAATGAAACATTTTGCATAATTCTTATTTGTGTTATTTTAAATTTATCTTTAATAACTTTATTTTTGTGTTAGGAAAGAAATTTATAAAATGACTCCACATTTTATAAAGACAATGTAAAGAATATAATTCTAGAACCAGTGCTACTGCCAAAGTAAAGGTATTTTTAAAAAGCCTATAGATTTAATATCTACTTTTATAAATATAACCATTTATATGAGCACCTAATTCTTTGAAAAGAATAGCTTTATTTTTACATATACATAATTATGAGTAACATCCAAAAGTAATTGCTATGTGATAGTAATATGTTGGCATGTAGCATTTTAACCGTATTCATGACAAAAAATGGAATCATTCAAATGGGTTTTGTATTTTATTTTCTAGCTCCAACTTTTTAGTTTTAAAATTTTTATTTATAGCCCTGGCCGGTTCGGCTCAGCGGTTAGAGCGTCCGCCTGCGGTCCGGAGAGGCCCGGGTTCGGTTCCCGCTAAGGGCATGTACCTCGGTTGCAGTTTGTCCCCGGCCCTGGTTGGTTGTGCGGGTGGCAGCCACTAGATGTGTCCCTTTCACATCGATGTTTCCCTCTCTCTCTCTTCCTCTCTCTCCCTCCCACTCTGTCTGTACAAAAAATGGAAAAATGTCCTCGGATGAGGATTAAAAAAAAAAAAAAATTTATTTATAATAGAGGTATTCTCTTATATTTTTGTATTTATAAGCTACCTCTAAATAAATTATTTTGTTTTGCCTATGGCATATTTATAGGATATTAGCCATTTTTTAATCCTTTGGCTTTATCATAATTCCCTGAATTATCTTCAAATATTCCTCAGGAGCATTCTCATTCCATTTTTTTTTTTTTTTTTTTTAAATTTTAGAGAGAGGAAGCGGGAGTGGGGGGAAGACATTGATATGAGAGAAACATCGATGTGCATCCTCCCACACATGCCCCAACCTGGGACTGAACTTGAAGCCCGGTATGTGTCCTGAATAGAAATTGAACCTGCCACCTTTTGGTGTGAGGGACGGCCCTTCAACCAACTGAACCACACTGGCCAGGGTAGCATTCTCATTTTTCATGGAGATTTAAAATGGTAAAATGTGATTGTTCTAAAATTTCTAAAACTATAATTCAGTATGTATTTTGTACTTCTTTGCCTTCTGATTTACCTAGATCCAAAATCAGTCTCTTGAGAAATAGTGAGAATAGATAAGCTGATTGTTATTGATTTATTATATATAAACTGGGGAGCCAAAATAGAATGAAGTTAGTGAACCTAAGATTGAGAAAGTTGTTTTTTCCATTTGTAGTTAAAGTTATCACCTGTTTTTTCAGATAGAACTTGATTTTTAAAAAACAGATTTGTATTGATTTATTCTATTGATTCTAATTTTTGACATTTTATAAGATTTTATTTTCACATTTTTTCCAAGTATTCAATTAGTTACAGTAGAAGTTTAGAAAGTTAGTGTTAGTATATTGATTTGACACCTAACTGAAGCTCATTTTCACTTTGTTAAGTCAGCTTTTAACCCTGTATAGAGAGGGTATTTGGCCTTCAGGTACTCAAACCTTTGTAAATGCAAATAGCACTGTGGTCAAATTTGAGTATTTAAATTTTAGGGGAAAAACAAAAATATTAACATATATCTTGAAGCTGGACAGAAGTAACTTAATATGTTATTTATTTAAAATTAATAATGGCAACAGCTTAATGTGGTCTTGTTTGACCTTTTTATGGGTATTCAATTTAAATACACATAAAGAATATGTTTTGGTTTTTTTAGTAACATTTGAAGAGCTGTACTTTACCACTTTAAAAACATGGTTTATAGGCTAAACGTTTCTGGCTTTAAAAATTAGTAAAATGTGGTACATTTTAATCTTACATATTCTTAAGCAAAAGAAGGCAAGTAATTTAATTATTTTAAAGAAATCAAAACCAAAAGAAATCAATAACCAAAAATTATTAGAATGGCATAAAATCTTATGTTAGTGATTTAAAAATTTTGATGAATGCTAAGTTTGTAAAGGTTTTGTTAAGTTTTAGACTGTCTTCTATTTATATTATGTTGGGTAGATGTCTTGCTAATGACTTCATAAGCTTAGTGTAATTTGTGTATGCATTTTAAATTCATTTTACTGTTATGTTTTGGTTCATCATTGCTTTCCTTATCCTGCATTTTCTAATCATCTTCTGAAACTACATCTTTTTCTCTGCTACTTTCCTCCACAGCACCTTACCCACAGGGTCGTAGGATTTTCCTGTATCCCAGCTCCCCCTCTCTCTCTTGTGGTTCCCTTCATCTTAAAAAGTCCCGTCTCCTCCTCTCGGAATCTAGCCTTGCCCCTCATCATTCTAGCCTTGTCAGCCCAGTTCTGAGGAAAAGTGTTTCTTTCAGTGAAGAGTTGTTCCTGGCTGCTTCTGGTAGGATCACCTTATGTCAGCTTTTTAATCCCTGTATTTTGAATCATTTTTTGATACTACAAAGAAGTAGTGGGTATTTTATGCAGGATGTACTTCTTATTTTTCTTATTGGCAAACATATTTAAGTGATTCGAATTATCATGAGGGCACGATTGAGGATTACTTGAGAGATAATTGTGAATATTCTGCTGAAATTATACATTAAAAAGTAATATGTCTAAGGACATAGATACGCATATTTCCCATTATTATTAGGTTCTCATTACTAGAGTTTCTGTTTTAGATGTTTTACTTTCTTTCCCTTCATACCAACTCTATTCACATTGGACCTGTACCATCATGTTGCTAAACCATGTGGTTACATTAGTAAATTATTCTGTTTGAATCAGTTTAAGTCTCATGTTGGCAATATTCTTTCATTATCCACAATTTTTTCTGTCCATTGCTTTAATTTTCAAATTATTCTGCTGTATTTTCTGATATTTCATTTATCTCTAAAAAATTACATTTTATTTTATGGTTTTCAGTATGCTTCATGTAAAGACCTTAGTTTAATTTTTATGTTTGGTATTGTATAGTCTCTAAAAATCATGTTTATGTCATAAGAAAAATAAATTTAAAAACAAAAGAACAGAATGGGACTATACATATGCTAACCTTTGTTTCCTTATCCAAGAACAGCTAAAAATGTAAAAGTCATTATAGTGAATATGGCTGTATGTTTCTTCAGTTTGAAAGGATGAGATTGAACCTAGTGACTCTAGTTTGTAGAGAACTGGCTTCTTACCTGTCTCCTGCTTTTTAGAATTCTTTGACCATAGTTGGTCTTTTGGTATTATCAAAAGAATAAAATGAGATAGGGAAAGAAATTTAAAATTAAGCCTTTAAAAAATACATATAAGAACTTGGGAAATATAATTCTTTCATTCATAACACATGTGATGTGTCTATTATATGTTTGTGGTTTTTAGTTTTTTTAACAAATTTTATGTTGATTTTTGCAAATGAGCGTGAAAAACTATGGATATTAATACTGTTTTGACATTAATGTTATGTTTAGGAATGGGAACTTATCAGAAAGTATATTTTACTGTATTTTAAAATTGCTTGGAATATTTTAAGTAAGCACAATTAGTGCTTTTCCTTTCTATGCTTAATTTAGACAAATATTTAATGTTTCTCTTATTTTTTTAGTAGTCTTAAATTATTAGCACAAGTAATTGGTATTACATGATTATTTTTATTAGAAGATTCAATTTTAAAAAAATGAATATTAATACAAAAATTCAGTAACTTAATTTAAAAATAATTTTTAGAACAAATTAAGTCTAAAACTAGCTGTGATCTGTACAACTTTGACATATTTCTTCTAAAATAGAATAAAATATGTGCTTAGTTGCCATCTCAAATATTTTAAATGTTTGGATCATTTTAACAATTTTGACTCATGATACTTATGAAGATGAATGCAATTAATCTTTCTGCTTCTATAGTTGTTTTTTTTGGTTATTTGTGTACTGATGTTCTATAGGAATGGGAAGTGGTAGTGCTGGAAAAGAAGGGGGGCCATTTAAAGCTCTTTTACGACAACAGACTCAGTCAGCATTGGAACAAAGGGTAAGAGTCATTTAACGTTCTTTATTCTCATACTGGTAATGTGATTGTATTATCAATCTTCCCTCTACTTATAACTTATTTCCATACTGAGTTTGGTCACATATCTGTACTATTGTAATTTCAAAGTCCAAACTCTATTTAAGGTATCAAAGTAATTTGTTTATGAATAATTACTTTTAATTTGGAATAATTATATAACTATTTTTGTTTTGTCCTCCAGCCTTTTATTAGAAATAGTCTGTGTGCAAATATCCATTGAATAGTGAAATTATTTCTAATTTTACATTAAAATTATAATATATAAAAGGAAATAATAGATATTTTTCCAGAAGAATATTTTAGTTATTGAATATTAAAAGTAATTCTTTAATATCAATATTTTTATTTGCTGAGATTATTTTTATCACTGGCCAATCTGCTAGGGGTAAGAAATGCACAGATTCCGTATTATACAGATTAACATAAATAATGTGATTGTTCAGTATTTGAGTACATCTCTTTTAAATATTATAAGTTTAATGTTTTATTGAATCTGTTAAATGGAAAAATGAATAGTTAAAGTTTTTGGATGATTTTTCTCTTTTTATTTTTATGTTTTTATAAACTTCAATGCTAAGGGAGGATCGCCTCATAGGTTCTGTAGAAGGCGGCGGGTATGTTCCTAAACATGTGTGAGAGCCTATTTCTTGTATTGGTAGCTTTTCTAGTTTTAATCTTGATCATTGTAGTTTTATTTAAGCTTTTAACAAGTGTTGCCAGCTTTTTTTCTTTTTGTTACGCAGTTTGTTTTTTAATTTAATAGCACTATGAGGCTCTTGGTTTGTTTTTTTTTCCTTCTTAACTAATACAGTGCATGATTTTACATCACATCAGTTATTTTAATGCGTAGTTCCATAGCTGTTATTATGTCTGATTTGGAAGTTGTAACCATTTACAGAATTTTCTTTTACAAGTTCCATTTTATACTAGCATTAAAAAACAAAACAAAACATACAACAGCAGATACCTATAAAAGGATGCACTTTATAAATCAGAGGTATTTTTTTCCTAGAGGTTGGCTTTTTGAGAATACTAGTGTTTTTCAGATCCTATTATTACAAACAGTACAATTTATTTCTTTTAGATTTTCTTTCCTTGTGATGAGAGTGTCTGTGTGTGCACTGTTTGCCTTTAGACAGGCTTGAGAGATCAGAGCTGAGCTAAGCAGAGTGATGAGACTTGAGCTGTACTCAGTTCTTGGCTTTATACCACATCAGGCAGCAGTTGCCTTTGAGCTGCTCTCACAGCCTGCAGGCGTAAGCAGCCCGCCTAAACATAACCATCCATTGGAATCAAACCTAGAGAATGACTAAAACTATGGAGAAGAGGGTCAGAGTGAAGGTGTGTATGTGCCCACTTCTCATTTTTTAGTCCAGAACGTTCTTACCTCCTTCCTTCTCTACAGAGTCCCTTTCACTAGGAATTTGTCCTATAATCTGATTACCCTTCTGGAATTCACAAAAGCAGGAAAACTTGTGTTGCCTTGACGTTTGATATAATGAGATTTTGCCTGTATGTTATGCCTGTGGCTTTACCTCTGTACTAAGAACGTTTAAAAGCATCTAGCCTTAAAATACAAAATATTCGCCCTGGCCGGTTTGGCTCAGCGGTTAGAGCATCGGCCTGTGGTCCGGAGAGACCCGGGTTCAGTTCCCGCTAAGGGCATGTACCTCGGTTGCAGTTTGTCCCCGGCCTTGGTTGGTCGTGCGGGTGGCAGCCACTCGATGTGTCCCTTTCACGTCGATGTTTCTCTCTCTCTCTCTCTTCCTCTCTCTCCCTCCCACTCTATCTGTGCAAAAAATGGAAAAAAAAAAATGTCCTCGGGTGAGGATAAAAAAAAAAAATACAAAATATTCTAATCAATGAAAATTGTTTTGGGTTTGGTTTCGATAAAATTTATCTTTTCAAATATGCTTTTAAACATTCTTAAAATTTTGGACACATTAACACATTGGGCATACACTACTAGATACTCCTCATGGAATTAACAGCAAAGGGGTGGAGAACTATAGTTTTCATGTACAACTTTGTAAAACCCGAGTTAGCAATATATTTACATAACTTAACTTTGCAGTATCAGTTACTTGAGTTTATGAGACTGCCTCTCTACCCTGTGTACAAGATAAATAGAAAAAACCATCATCTTTGGCTTTCCCATTCATCTGTGGCTGCTAGTAGTGTGGTTTTGTTCTGGGAAGTATTTGTGCAAAAGTATGAAGAAATTCTCCCCATATGTGTTCAGACATGCCTTAATCTGCCAAGTTAAACACTGGATCAATTTGAACATAGGCTACTTGTATCAATTTTTATATATTCACTTAAAAATATTTATTTCTACCCCTTGCCACCCTTAATAAATTATATGGATTTTTTTTCTTGAGGAAAAGAAAATTTTTATTTTTCAAATACCTTTATTTAATGGGTTATTCAAGTAGCAATTCTCAAAAATAAGTGTTATTTTTTCCCTCTCACAAAAGCATTAAAAAATAAGTTGACAAGATCTTGGTAACAAGTGTCATTTTACTGGGAGATGAGAATTATAGTTAAAAGTTTTATTTAGATTGAGGTTTTGCCTATGAACTCTTTAATGTAAGGCAAATTGATATATTTCTCAATATGACTTTTTTTTTTACCTGTAAGAAGAATGAAATTACTTTTGTTAATTCTGAGATGTATATTTTTCAATAAAGAAACCTAGTTGACTTAGGTTAACCTAGTGTTTTTTTTTTAATGTATTTTACCATGGAATCTTTCATTTAAATATATGTTAGTGAGGAACATAAATAGATTTATGCTGCATGCACTTGGCTTATGTCAAAGCATCAATATATGAAAGTGTTACTAGGTACCACAGGACAAGATATGTTAGATATGAGGACTTTCCAGAGAAAATGTCTTCTACAGTTCCTGAAAGTCTCATCTGACCATTGAAAGTAGGGTGTGCTTGGGCTGATCCTAAGGTAGCTCTCCTTATAGAACAGAGAACCTATAAATTCATCAAGTGTAATAACAGACTAGAGATTAAAATCAGCTCTTTAACTTAATGTTTTAACCAGAAGTAGCAAGAAACCATATGATAAGGTTTGTTGCTCAGTAAGATTCTAGGCCCTTTTGAACTCAAGTTTTTCACCCTAAACCTGGAGATAATAGTACTTCCCTCTTAGGATATGGGAAAGATTAGAAGGCATAGTTTTAAGATACTTTGCAAGGGCTGGCACATTGTGTGTACTCTATAGCAACTCACTGGTGATGGTGATGGAGATGGTAGGTATTGAACCTCATATATACTGTTAGGCTGTAGATATGAGCAATAGCTCTTTTGAGAAGGTTGTCTGAAGATATAACTTTTAGTTGTATAGCAATACCTTGTTATTTACTCTGATAAAGTATGTGTGTTAAAGTGAGTGTGGGTGTGCTGACTGGATGAACTGGGGACACGTGGGACAGAGGTGATGTTGGCACAGTGGGCCTCTGCCTCTTTGGGCAGTTATGCCCTTTTTCTGCCATGACCCTCGAAGCTTTTCCTCTTGTCCATTTATCCTAACTTCTGAAATTTGGGGATAAGAGTCAAAGAATTCCAAATAGGGAAAGCATTTTGGTTCATTTTTTCATTCCTCAGATCTTATATGCACATGTTTTTAATAGGTCAATTTACCTAATTTATTTATCTTGTTTTAGAAGGAAATACTACTTTTCATTTGCTTACAAAACTTATTTTCAGTGTCTCTTGTCCAGAATATTTAAAATATTTAAGTATACAAAGTAAATTTAAAATTTTTAAAAAAAAATACTATGCCTCTGTATTTTGAGGAAATTAAAAATGTAGGTTCTTAAAATTGAAAACAATTTTAAGTTCAGGTGGCAATGAGGAGGCATTTTGACTAAATATTTTATAATATATTTAAGTGAAATTCCCCATCTTTCTCCTCTCTTGTCTTCCTTGTCTTCTGCCTATCATCTGGGCTATACCTACCCACTTCCATAGACTGTTTTTTTACTCTTCTTTACATAGCCTAGGTTTTCTTGTCCTTATTAATTTAAAAATTACTTTTAAATTCTAACTGAATTAACTTATAATTATATATATACACAGACACATATGTACACATACATACATATATATGTATATCTATATTTTTTATACTATATATTCATGGGTTACTGAGGTGTACCAGACTGTTTGCCTTTGTGCTGAATGACTCCAAATTGTTATGCTTTGTGAGTTATGCTTTGGTGAGTTTGTATTCTTCATGCTTTAAGTCTGAATTCTCCAGTCAGTAATCTTGCTGCTTTTAATGTACCTGCTTCTAGTAGTATTCTGTATCTCTTTATCTTCCAGCTTTTATTTGCTGCATTTAATCTGCTGTGGTCTAGAAAAAAGATACTGATAGATTTTAGAATATGACCCTAAAGTTATATACTTATAATTACTATATGCCCTACTAGGAGTATGATCTGTGGGGATCTCTTATGAATAAAGTACATAAACTGTAACAGGGTTTTTTTTTTTTTTTTTACTGCTAAGAGCCCTGTTTTACTTATTTTGCAGTTCTCAGTTAGGTTCTTAATAGCTGAGTCTACTGGTAAGTGATTTCTGGTTATGTGAGCTACATTAATCTTGGAGCCAGACAAGTCAGATATTTAGTTTCCCTGACCCGCATGCAATTTGTATAATGTGAGAGACCTCTGTATTTGGCAGCTACAGGGCTCCCTTTCCTTCCTGGTTACTATTTCAGTGAATTTCATTTTTTTTTTTTTTTTACCATTTTTCTCTTGCATGCTTCTCTAAATTGATGAGGTTGATCTCCTTGAGAGAGAAGGGAAGAATAAAGCTTTGAAGAACATGTGGAATTCTGTTGCCTTCCTTGCTGTCACCTACTTATCTCTCTCCTTTCTCCTGCCGCCCTGGTGTTGATAGAGTAATAATCTCATAAAGTGATTCTCTATACACCTGAATCTATCTTTTTGCCCTATCTGCACATTTTTACGTATTTCTCTCTTTCTTTTTATTGATTTTTTTTTTTAGAGAGAGAGAAATGGAGAGAGAGAGATAGAAACATCCATTGGCTGCCTCCTGCACAGCCCCTACTGGGGATTGAGCCTGCAACCCGGGAATGTGCCCTGACCCAGATTTGAACTGGGACAACAGTCAATCCACTGAGCCGGCTAGGCTCTATGTATTTCTTAACACATACGTACATTCATCCTCTCCCTCCCACTCCCTCAGTCCCACAGTCTTAGATCTCAAACTCCAGGCTTTGAGAGTCTTTACAAGTAGCCTGGAATTGGCTGTGTCTGTGAGGGGGAGTCTATGCCAAAAGGAAGTAGGTATGGGGTAGAGGGGGATCCCCTCATGCCATTTTGAAGTCATGGTCAGAGTAGGAGATTGAGAGGAAGGAAGAGTGTAACTATTCCTCAAATTGGAACTCTGGGAACATTTTTTTCACTGAGAATTGATAAAAAGAGTGCTTGGATTCTATATAACATGATATATGTGGGAAAATGGATTCAGAATTGTAAACATCCAAGGAAACTTAATTACAAAGCATGTGTAATGTATATTTAGTAACCTTTTGTTAAGGGATGGAATTAATTTCCTTGTAACAAGCTTTTTAATAAGCAAATTTTTTGTACTTTACACACGGTCAGTTATATTTTTCCTCATTCTTTCTACTAGGAATTTCCCTTTTTCACCTTGACGGCGTTTCCTCCTGGATTTCTTGTGCATGTCGGGGGTGTTGTTAGTGCACGCTCTGTGAAGCTTTTGGATCGGATCCACAATCCTGGTATGTTCTTTAAAAGTTTGTTATCAATGCTTTATTTATTTTAGATTATGATTATTAAATTTGATTTTTATAATGTTGTTTTTTAAGCCAAATTTATCTGAAAAAGAAATGAACACTAGAGTATAAACTGTAGTTATAATATATTTGTAGTGATCTTAATTAAAAAGAATCAAACTAAGAAGAAGTATACTTTAGTTATATTTTTATACAAAATAAAAATACAAATCTTGATTCACTTTTGGCCAAGGAATCATTTTGAGGGAATATTAAGTAACTTTTGAGTTGGCTATTTTCCTTGAGCCAGGCCTAAAATTATATTAATTAATATTATATTAATATTATATTGATATTCTTATTTGGCATATATACATATAGATTTTTGAAAATTTTAAATCGTCACTTCCATTAACCTCTTCCTGAGGCCTGTGCTGATGACTATAAAAAGTGAAATGCTTTGAAATTATTATATGCCAAACATTATAGATAATGATTTTGAGAATACATAATATTACTATTCTTTTAAATTAAAAAATTAATCTGTGCCTTGTGGTTTGATGTCATTTGTTTTGAGTTAATAATTACAGAGAAACAATGGAGTTTTTTAGATTCTGAACAAGATTTCAGAGAAGCAGTACTAGCTAGGATTATTTATAAAAACTCTAAAGCTGAGTGAGTGCATCTTTTAAGCATCAGTCTTCCTTTTCTTCTATGATTTGTTATTTTTTCCCCCTGTTTTTCATTTTTCTGGTCAATTCAAGATCTTTTTTTTTTTTTCATGTAGTGTTTGTATATCCTGAAATAATTAAAGGCAAATTTAGGCTGATGCCAGTTTAATGTATTGAGACCTTAAAACCTTAATTTAGGAACTTAAATTATTTGGAAAGTACAAGGAAATACTGGGTTAAGCTATCTCATATTAACTATGTGACCCAAGGCTAGTTGCCTGTATTTCTATGGACCACTGACTCAGATATTTTGATAGATGGCACACACTGGTATAATAACTTCAAAAAATGGTTTTAGGAATTTATTCAATTATTGTAATGTCTTTTATTTACTGAAAACACTTTTATTGTTGCTTCCATGTACTCCAAGTAAGCTGTAGAGTCTGGGAGAACAAGTGAAAGTTACTTAAATAAGTTTAAGCAGTGAGCTATATTTAAGATTGTATTATTTTGTACAAAAAAAAACTGTTTTGTGGGTATTATCGTGCTTGCCAGTTTATTCTAGGTATGTAAGAAATATAAGAATCCAGGTCCAGAGAAGAAAACAGGAACCCTTATTAAGAATATATTCTGTATATTGTAATTAACCAGCTCATCCATTTTCTTCCTTTCTTCCCTTTCTGAATATTTTGTCAATTCACATATAGAAGTTCTTAGTTAATAATGGACTATTTCCCAAATGATTATGGGCATAAACAAATAAGTGCTTTTAATGACATATAAGTAATATTTTAATTTGTTTTCAGTTAAATACAAACCAATTATATACTCTCATGGTTCCAATATTAGTTTTATATAAATATCACAGTTTTTGGATTGCTTAATAAATCTTTTATGCTTTAAAAAATAACATTTTATTAATCTTCAGGGCCCTTAAATAATTATTTATGAAAACATTTCAGTTTGTTGACAAAAACTGAATGTTAAAACGAAACTTTAGATTAGCATCTACCATAACGATGTTGTATTAATTTAATGACACTAAGTGCTGAGAAAAACTTAGGGTGAATTGAGATACATGTGCTAATGTTAAAAGTGCTGTGTTTGCCCTCTCAAATGAATTCTGCAACTATTTTTTGACAAGTGAATATGGGAAATTTGCATTTGACAGTGAGCGTAGAAGGGAAAAAAATCTCGTTTTAAAACCACTACCACCTGCTAATTCTACGGATTATTATTTTGGAATTATTTCTTTTAGAACTTGCTCCTTTGTTAAAAGTTTAGCAAATAGGATCATATAACAAAGGAAAGAATGGGGTGGTTTTAAAAATCAAGGTAATTATCTTAAATAATTAAACTTTAGTTAATGTTAGATTATGATAGCATGCTCCTTCTTCTCTATTTCAACTTCTTATTAACTCTGCTGTCTGTGTCTTTCCAGTTCCTGTCGAGTGGTGTTGTCAATTGTGTTCTTGTTTGTAGTTTTTTTTTTTTTCCTACTATTCTGCACCTAAAACTGATCTTCTAATTTGCTGTTTTGAACTCAGCCTTTGTCGGAATTATGGGTAACACAAGATCTTACAAACTGCTAGACTGGAATAGTTTCAATTCAGGTATTTTAATGGTCATTCAGTACTACATATGCTGACAAAAATTATGGCAGCTCAGTGAAGTTTTTAGAATGTTTTAGATTAAATAGGTTTAATGTGAATTCAGTTATGTTGATACATTCTTCAATACATATGTTCCAACTCTTATAATTTCCATGGAAATGCAAATATAAAAATGTGTTAACTAAAACGAATTAATCAAAACCATAGAAATATCATAAATTATGAATGACTTTTGTCTAACCTTCAGAATAATAATTTTAAATTATGTTTTGGACCTTTTTTTTTATATCAGGTCAGTGACACATTAGCTTTATGATTAAGGAAATATTTCCTAAACATTATAAGTATTAAATAACTAGTTTGATAATTTTAAAGTATATTTAAATTTCAATCTACATTTGAATATAATGTATTTAGTGTTGTGTAAATACTATAAAAATGTAACTATTAGCATTTTTATTTATAATTCTAAAAGTGTTCCAAAATTTGGTAAGAACAGATTTTGAGGAGATTAACAGCTTTTATAAGCTTTTCTCATTCCCCTTCTACATGAGAATATAATTTTTCTTTTTAAGTATTTTTACATACAGATATTGTTTGTAGCTTTTAAAGAAACTAAACTAAACTTTACAGATGATGATGTGGTTTAGAGTCAAAGCCAGTTAATTTTTCTTTCTTTTCTTTAAATTGTCTTTCTTTCTTTCTTTATTTTTGCTGATCCTCACCCAAGGATTTTTCCCCCCATTGATTTAGAGACAGAGTGGAAGGGAGGGAAGGGAGAGAGAGAGAGAGAAACATCGATTGGTTGCCTCTCACATGCTCCCCGATGGGGACGAGGATCGAATCTGCAACCCAGGTACGTTACCGTGACCAGGAATTGAACCCATGACCCTTCGGTCCTCAGGCCAACACTCTAACTGCTGAGCCAAACTGGCCAGGGCTCTTTTTTTTTTTTTAATTAAATTTATTGGGGTGACATTGGTTAATAGGATCATATCAGTTTCAAGTACACATTTCTACGATACAAGATCTGTATATTGCACTGTGTGTGCTCACTATCCAAAGTCAAACCATCTTCTTTCACCATATTAGGCCTCTCCACCCCCATCCCCTGCCCCCCTTCCCTCTGGCACCCACCACACTGTTGTCTGTGTCCACGAGATTTAGTTTTATATCCCACATATGAGAGATCATATGCTTTTTAGCTTTTTCTGACTGACTGATTTTACTTAGCTTAATATTCTGTTTTTCTTTTTGATAAAAGCATATTCTGTTAATAATACAGATATCTTAATATTGATGTCATTTATATGTTAGAATTAAATTAAACAATAGAATCATCTTGATTCAGTATCAGAAGCTATTATTTTGCCTTAAGAATCTTTTCAGTACTTTGTGCCAGAAAATGTATCTCTTCACAGAAAAACAAAAACAAACACTTAGAGGCTCAGCATTTTAGATAATATCCTATAATCTTTTCAATATTGCAAACTTTTTTTGTTCTCAGGAGTCCAGGATGTAAGTTCTGATGTAAGTAATGCATGTTTGATTATGAAGTAACTTGTTCATCATGAAGATTTACCTAAATTCAGTCTAGTAAACAATCTGATCAGGTCCAACCTTAGCAGATTTAGACTGATATGAATTGGTAAATCTTTAGGGTAATTACCTCTGTTGGCAGTTTTTGCCAGCATGTTCTCACATTGATTAGAATTAAAACAATCATTTCTAATGTCATACTGTATACTTAGTTTTTATTAAGGAATTAAAAATACTCTGATTTCTTTAATAAATGAAAATATATTTTTACATTAGGCAGATTAGTATAGTAGGAAGAAAGAAGTCTTATTAGATAAGAAAAGAGCATTGAGAGCAGATTGATCATTAATAATTTAATTTAAAGAGCTGAAACCTTGTCAGGGCAAAGATGTTTAAGGGTGAGATGTGTGTGTTAGATGATAGAACAGTCCTGGAAAGCGGAAAAAGCAAAAGATAAATCCTATAGACATAAGAAAGACTTTGTCCCATGTAAGCAGAATTACAGAGTTTGGCAAGAAGAAACCTGGTTGAGGAAGCAGTATATCTTACCATCATTTAGAATAAATCAGGTTATAAGTGTATGGAGGAAAAAAGATGGATATAAGTTATAGAATATTAAAAGAACATAAAAGATGACTGTCATTTAATGTTCTCATAGTTGTATGCTTTTGATTGAGGTATTAGAATTATTATGATAACAGCTGGTACATATTCAGACATCAGCCTGATTTTGATAAAATAACAATAATTCTGAAAAAAAAGTGATATATTTGGTAAATCTGTTAAAATTATTTCTATATTTTTCTCTGTAATTAGGGATTACTGCTGTCCTGTATTACCATAGAGAATCAAGAATTGACCATGTCAGTGAGAAAACTAATTGTTGATATGGTTTCTATTAATACTAAAAATTATTCATCTATCAGTGTATTTTCTGGAATCTCTTATACCATGTATTATATGATGTGTCATCAATTTAGTAATAACCTTCCAAGAAAAAAAGAGAAACTACCATCTTAAATATACTTATTAATTATTAGACATTCTTAATTCACTAACATTAAAACATGGAAAGATATAGGAAAACATTTTATGTTACACAACAATATTTTGTGAAATATAATTTATCATGCAAGCATTTACTAGAATTTATTTTGTGCCATGCAGTTTGTTAGATAATAGG